TCATCCTCATCGTTCTCGTGCTCGTCGTCGTCCTCGTGATTGTTACCACCCCCAAATGGTTGTGCTGAGCTGCGGGCAAGTGTCAAGGCGAAAAATTAGCGCATCACGTGCATCTGTGCCGCAATATCCTTTAACTGGCTGCTTTTGCCATTCTCATCCTTATCGCTAACGATTTCGTTTAATATGTTAATCTGTGCCGACAGCGTCGCTCTCGCTATGATTCCCTCTTCACCCTTCACTCCTCACCCTGCCCGCTGCCCGTTTTCCCTGCTCTGTTCATTAGCTGGCAACAATAAAGATATTATTATTGGAGCACTCTCCGTTGGTAGTCCATAAAAGTAGTCATAGTCATGTCCTGTCGTCCACTTAATGGCTGCCACTTTTGGGAATGTTTTAAAAAAAAAACCAAAAGTATAAAAAAGGAAAGAAATCAAATAAAAATCAACGAGAAAGGCTTTAAATACCCATATCGCTTAAGTGACTGGGAAGCTATCGAAACGCATTAACTGGGAAAAATACTAATTAGCGTCATATCTCTATAGCCGTCTCTCTCTCTCTCTCTCTCTCTCTCTGTCGCTCTTGCATTGTGTGTCTGCATTTAATGCTTGTGTTAATTACCTTTTGCATGGAGATTTTCACTCGTTCACTTTGAATTTTATGGCATTTCTGTGGAAAACCGCGTGAAAAGTTCTCAAGTGGACAAATTAACGTGTGTTTTCCAATAGCCGGAGAATCCGTCGCAGCTGATACAGTCAGTAACCAAAGCCGTTTATATACTCTATGGCTATTAAAGGTACCAATGTGTGTAACAGTCAAAGTAAGGCATTCCGATGTAGATGTACATTAAATTAAATTCTTGATCACCAGTAACAGTCAACACACTTTACTGCATCCGTGGGACAAGGGACAAAGGACAACCAGACAGACTTAAATTTCAGATCAGTCCTTGTCCAACCAACTCAGAGAGACAACTTTGAGTTTGAATTGAAGGATAGGATATGAATGCTGTAAGGTTTTTATTATTATATAACAATTATATTTAAACATTAATCAACCTATTGAAAGGCTATAAAACATTGATTTGAAAAGGTATGAATTAATAATAGCAGTGAATTAAAAATGTATAACATAAACATAGAATTGGTTTTAGCAGATAATAAACAATATTAAATATTACACATGTAGAAAATGTCATTTAACAATTATGATTATTGAATATTATAATATTATCTTATTGATTTAAAATTTAAAATTAAGAATAATATAATCCAAATTGTATATGTAACTAAATCAAATATTAGTTTTACTATAAATAATAATAATAAAACTACCATTAAAATCCGAGTTTTACAGGGCATCTCCCAGTCAAGCACTTGTCCGCTACATCAATGATATTTGATTCTTTTTATAATTTTTAATGTGTTTTTTTTTTCTCACACTACAAACATTTATTTTTTGTATTGTCCTTTTTGCTGGCAAGTCAATCAAAGCAAGCAAAACTGCTCGATAGCATATTGTTGCAGTCACTCCAATCGCTTTCCCATAGCACGCCCGGCGCAACGGATACACCCGTAAGGCTGCTTAGCCCGGGTGCTGGGTGGAGGGTGGCTTGTGGCTGGTGGCTGTTGGCGCACTTGCAACCCCGCTTTGCAGCATCCTGGACAACAGCAGGAGCTAAGCGGATATTCATTACACGAACCGCACGCCGGCACGCGCTGCCGCTTTGACAGTAGCTCGGCCCATTGCCCCCCAACCCCGTTCATATTTAGGACGCTCGTCCTTGGGTGAGCTTACACTTTACATATGTCACTGATATCCCCGTGGGAGTGTTTGCCGCCTTGACTTTTGAGTGCAGCCAAAGTCGCAAAAGTCAGCCCGCTGATCCTGTTTGCTGTAAATAATGCGATTAACGTGCGCCGTGCGCAGCGCCTGCAAATCCTGCTTTTGGGGGGGCGGGGGGAGGGTTGGGCCGCTAATGAGACAGCGACGCTTTGACGCACTGCCTGCGAGACGCTCGCAAGGATTAGTGCTACAAATTTGCGCCTAAGCATGGTGTGAAATATGAGCGAGAATGAAATGAAAAATTATTGATACTTGTGTGCCAGTGTGGGTTGTGGGGGGTAAGAGTAACTTGTGTGGTTAACATTGTCTTTCCACTGGGTTGGCTAGACCATTAAAGTGTCTTTAATGCTTGGTTGCCCCACTGCCACATCTACCCCCAAAAAACTCAAGACTTATGCCGCTCACTGATTTGGAAATAATTCTATAAATTTGCGCCGCTGCGACTGCCAAAAAGTGCACAAAATAATCGCATTAATGGAGCCTCAGCCACGTGTGAGTTGACTAACTGACTAACCGTCTGACTGACTGACTGACTGAGTGGCTGACTGACTGACTGAGTGACTGACTGAGGTCGCAACGTGTCATTGTCGTGTTTGGGTAAGAGGCTGGGAAGTGCCCGCGGCTGCTGTTGCACTTTGTCTTTGGGGCGTGTCTCGTAAAACGCTTGGAAAATCCCATTTTCCAGCCCAAGCCAAAGCCAAGTGTGCGAAAATTTGATAAACTCCGACAAGAAATAAAAAGCACAAAAAAAAAAAAACGCTTCATGATTTATGAAACGAGCATAAAGTGCTAAATGAAAACAAAAAAGAAAAAAAAATATAAAAAAAAATAAAACACGTAATACGAAAATAAAGAAAAACCATTCAATAAAAAATCCAAGTAAAAATTGACTAAATACAAAACATGACAGACGGCGTGCGAGTATTAATAATGCGTTCAGGCCAACGGCGGCGGCGGCGGCGGCGGCGGTTTCAGGATTTGGCTCTGAATTGTGTGATTGTCGGTCGCGGCGGTTTGTTGTTGCCTGCTGCCTTCTTTTTATAAAGTGCAAAAAACGTTGCACTCTTTTTCACATTCACATTCGATAAAAATCGCATAATCATAAATTTACACTTTGCACAGCCTCCGTGGCAACGCCCACCCCGAAAACGGCGAAAAGGGGTGAGTCGTTGCCTGGCTATGGCTATGGTGGATTGAGGGAGTTGGCAGGGGGGAAGAGGTGTGGTAGCAGTGTGGAGGGGGTGTGTGTGTGTGTGTGTCTTCTCTACTGGCACGCAATAAATGCTCTGTGAACTGGACGCGTGAACGATTGGTAAATTGTTGCGGTGCCCCGTTGAATATCTTTGCAACGTTTGCTGTTGCTCTGCTGTTGCGCGTTGCTTGTGGCACAATTGCAAAAAAAAAAAAAAAAACGTTGCAATCGCTGCCTTTCGATTTTATTTCTTCTGCTTACAAATCGTTGAAGTATTTTTCATAAAAACAAAAGCCGCGCGCGCTTTACTTTTTAAACGCCCACAAGAAACACTCTGGTGTGAAGTTATTTAATTGCGGATTGCGTTCAAAAACGCTAGTAAAACGCTGGCAAAACGCGCCGCAACTGTCTCCATCTCTCTCTTAAATATACACACTTATCACACTGACCAATCAAGTATGTGTGTCTGTGCCTGTGTGTGTGTGTGTTTGTGAAGAGTTGGAGGCATTGCATAATTAATGAGCTGCAAATAATTTGCATATTTCTAATTTAATCGAAATGATTTCACAGCATAAACAAAAACAATAAATCCAAATTGAATATGCAGTAAATGCAGCCAAAGCAACAACAACAACAATTACAACAACTACAACTACAACAACTACAACAAATGCAAGGCCGCAACGCTTCCATGGCTATGCCCCAAACACACACCACACTCGACTCCTACTCCTACCCAGTGTGCCCTGTGCTATGTGTGCATGTCGCTGCAACATTATAAATAAATCAAAATACAATTTCTCAGAAATTGCGATGCCATATCAAAATCTTGAGTGCGAGTGCGAGTGCTGGCAAACCGAACTCGCTACCCGAACCCGACCTAAACATGTTCACAATTTCCACCCAAAACATGTCGTAGGCAAATCTGGCCAATAGGCAGGGGGCTGGGCCAAGACAGGGGCGGCGAGGGGTGGGTGTCAAGAGTGTCGCGCAAGTGCAGGCAACTCCATGGAACGAACGGAGGCGGAAAAGTCGTTGTTCAGGTTGTTCCTGTTGGATGTTGTCGTTATTGGTCAGGCAGAGGCAACCACGCTGCAGTGGTGCAGTGGCTGCCAGGCAACCACCAGCACCAAAAGACAGTATCACCAGTACCAGTCACATGTTGCTCACACGACTGGTCCTCCTGGTCCTCCTGTGTGCATGCCGTGCAATTATTTTGAACTTAAATTCGTATTTTGTACGAATCTTGTAAATGCATCTTGTCTGTTCGACTGCCGGGGCCACATTTCATATGCAAACCTACAACTAGATGCCAATATGCAACAACAACAACGACGACAACATCAACAACAACAACAATGTTAGCAGACAACGAAAACTAGCGCTAAATTGTCAGCAATTGTCGTTTAACTCTTTTGCAGCTTTAAGTCCTCAGCAACATATTGCAATTGCCAACTGTCAGCAACATGTGGCTGCAATAAAGTTTATATACTCTACGAGGAAGCGTCACAGATTACACAAATCATAACGCAGTGGATATAATGGACTTGATAATGTAAATACATCATTTATAAATTTTACTGGTGGTTTGTATGACTTCAAAGCTGATTATTTTTCTGATTTTGTTTTTTATTCATAGCATAATAATTCTAAAAAATTTGCTGTTTCTATAAAAATCAACCAAAGTTTTAAAATTAAAATAAGTCAAAAATATTTTTCATGCTGTGGTTGTCAGAATTCTACAATTTTGTAATTTAATTTTCTAAAGTAATATTTTTAAGCACACAAGAAAAACATGAATAGAGAGTCAAAATATTATTTTGTAAAATATTTGCAATTTAAAAAATATAAGAAATCTAATAAAAAATCTTATTTGCTGATTAATTGTATTTGTTGAATAAATGTATTTTATATTTAAATCACAATACTTTTCATTCTTAATACATTTTTATTTTATTTTTTTGCTTGTCATTTTTTGACTAGTTTATAATTTTCGAAAATTATTTTTAAGATTTATCTCACGTTAGCCAATTGCTTTCTATATAAGATTTCTCTGAGTGTATGCTAGTTGATTCTCATTGCTATCACAATTATGCACTTGAGCTCTGTTAAGTGGGGGAAAAAAACGTATAAGAAAATAATAAACAAAAACAAAAAGAAAATAAAAGAAAAAATAATAGTTGCATATGTCAATTCATACTTCGGAGTCTTCCTCATTGAGGCGCCTCGCTCTGGCATTGGCACCAGTCACAACATCTGGTTGTCTGCCCATGAGCCACTGTTGCATACGCCCCAACCAGCCTTCCTCCTTCAGGATGTTATAGAGCTGCATAATCAATATGCAAAACACCACAAGCAGCGTTACCATCGCCAATACATCCCGTGTCGTCCAATACGGATGAATACCACCGACACCCGTTGGCGTACAAGTTTGTGCCGCATTCACTGGCTCATCCGACATGGATTTGGTGTCCATGCTGTGGACCGGTCGGCGCAGGCAGTTGACGGGCAAGTGAATGCCACGATCACTCATATAGATGAGCATATTGTGCATGAGGGTATAGCCCAACTCATTGTCGCAGATGCCCAGCTCCTGGAGTCGCGGATGCTGCCGATGGAAGAGTTCGTAATCGAACTCATGCAGTCTATTGCTCTCCATATGCAGACTTTGTAAGCTGGGCAGGGCTGCAAAGTTGTCTGCACTCACGGAGAGCAGGTGATTGTAGGAGATGTCCAGCTGTAGAAGATGCCCTGGCAGCAGCGACGAATCCGGCGGCAGACTTAGCAGCTGATTGTGTGCAAGATTCAAGTCGGTGAGACTGGGCAACAGCAGGCTGAGCGTACTGGAGTTGCCACCCACACTGGACAATGAATCGATATTGTTCTTGGACAGATCCAAGCGCTGCAGATTCCACATACCGTCGAGCAGCTCTGCCGTCGCATTCACATTCAGCTGATTCTGGTGCAGGTCAAGTTCGATGACAGCGCTCTTATCGCCAATGTGCAGCTGCGTCATCGCATTTCTGCCCGCCTGAAGATTGATAACGCCGCCATCGATGATTAGACGGCTGACAGCGCTGCCCTCTAGCATCAACCTCTGAGCACCATGTAGATGCAGCTGCTCCAACTGCCTGCAATTGCTCAGATCGAGCAGGCGCAGATTGCTCCTTGGTGCCAAGCAACTGGGTTCAAATTGTTTGAGTTGATTGCCATTAAGCAACAGTGTCTGGAGTTTGCTATTCTTAGAAAATGTCTCCGGATTGATCTGACTAATCTCATTATCGCTCAGATCGAGATTTAAGAGATTTGGGAGGGGCTCAAAGGCGCCCGCCACTAGTTGAATGATGCCATTACCCTGCAGCCCCAACAATTTGAGCTTGGACAGACCCTTAAACGCCTCAGCTTGCAACACTAGAATGCCATTGTGATCCAGTTGGAGCACCTCCAGCTGTTGCAGCGCCACAAACTGTTGCTCCCTTAATCGCGAGATGTGATTACGTGGCAGAATCAATTGTGTCAGTTGCGGCGTCGCCTGGAAGTCTTCCTTATACAGATGATAGACACTGCAGTTCTGAATTATGAGAATGCGCAGATTGGGCGCCAAACGCAGTAGCTCCAAGGGAAGGGCACGCATCTGACAGTTGCCCAGCAACAGCTCCTCTAGCTGACTCACCTGGCCAGCCGAGTAGCGAAGTGGACGCTGATAGTTGCTTTGCAGCCCCCACAAACTGCACGATGCACTTGGGCAACTGGCGCTCAGATTTAGACGCTCATTGCTGTCGTAAATGGGCGACGCCAGCAACCACTGTATTCCTAGTAGCAACAGTTGTAGCTGCAGTAGACATTTCGTTTGCATGACTATTTAGTCGATATTATATATTATTTCTAGCTTAATTTAATATGATTTTCGACCGACGCTTGAAACCGCGCTAAATGCACTAAAAATCACGATCGCCTTCATTCCGTCGACGGCTGCTGCGGGCTTATCGCCTCCCTCTGTTCCAGAGAGTTGGACAAAGGGACGGGTTTGGGTGTATTTCTTTATATGCTTGCCCAGATAAGCCTCACAGCGAGCGTGTGTAATATTTTTATTATGTTCCCTCTGGGAAGCTCAAATCTCATGTCAGCAACAATGTTTGCTCAGCATTTGTGTTTTCTTGATTAAAACAACTGGACAACATTGCCATTAAATATTCTCTGACAGATAGTTGCCACTAATAAAAACAAAATAATACATTTTGAGTCATAATAGAAAAATTACTGAATACAAATAAGAGTACTATAAAAATATAAAACACTGCACAACATAAAAAATATTTATGCCAATTATTGCTGCAATAAGTATTGCTTTGTGTTACATTTAAAGAAATATACTAAATATTTTTTGTATGTTATTTTTATAAACTACAATTGTTCTAAGTGCAGCAACAATGAGTATAAACAATGAGTATAAACATGCAAAACTCTACACTTGTTGCAATTCACTAAAGCTTTACAAATGTTGATAACATTAACTTGAATAATTTAACCATAAATCTGCGCATATGCGATCTTGAATGGGTCAGCAAGATTATGAATTATATCACGATTTGATTGACTTGCCCATATGCCCACATATGTATATGTATATGTATGTGCCACCGCTGACTCGGAATCGGAGACGGAGTCGGAGTCGGGGCGCAACTTAGAAGCCATCATAATTTAAACATGAGTGTTGGCTGCCACTGCGCGCGGCTAACAATGAGGCGACTTCAGAGCTGTGGCTGCTGTTGAGGAACAAATGCATTCAACACTGCGCTACAAGCTTCGACCCGGGTCGCCTGGCGTTATCAGCATCAGCGATGCAGATTAATCGGCGCTGATAAGCCCCATTGCCCCGTGAGTGTCTGTCTCTCTGTCTGTCTGTCTGTCCGTCTGCCTGTCTGCCTGTCTGTGCGTCGATCTGTCCCTTTGCCTGCTGGATGTGAATGTGAACGTGGATTGGACGATGACGAGCAGCGCTTATGACGAGCCACAATGATGAGGATGATGATCGACGGTAGCGTTGCGTTGACGTTGACTGCGTGCGGGTTTTGGGTACTACAACAATGCTCAAACACACAATAACATATGTGTAGTGCATACATATATATATATATATATATATATATATATATATATATATTCATGAGTGCCTTTGCCTCATACTCATATTCTATGTTTTGTCTTGTGGTTGCTGTGGTTATCCCTTTTTGGTGGAAGGTGTGCCTGCGTTATGCGAAATATGCGTGGAGTTGTCGAATATCGATCGCTCTGACCGATCTGCTGCTTTTTCTGCTGCTGCTGCTGATGTTATATGGCTGTTGATGTTGCTTCAACGCATTCATTGCCCAAAGTGGTTTAGATTAAGGGCTTTAGTTTAGTATTTTGGCAACAAATGGGGCGTTATTTGCTCAGCGAAACGTGCGTCTGGTTTGGCTTTCTCTATATACATATATATATATATATACATATAAATATAGTCAACCGATCGATCTGGACATCGGTCGCTGCACCTTGTTGACCTCTGCCTCATCGTCCTCAATCGTTTGTTCTTCATTCTACTCTAAAGACGTGGTCGTTGTCGTCTTCGTTGCTTTTGTATTTATTTTATTTTTTTTATATATTTTTTTTTTTTGTTTTTTGGTTGAACATCTGTCGATCTTGTATGGCGATAATTTGAATTGAGTTTTCTCTGTTTGCGATCCTCCAGTTCTCACTCTGCCTTCCCCCTCGCTTGGCATGTCACGTGTGGTGGTTTTATCTCTTTCTTCGTTTTTTTTTTTTTTGTTTCTTTTAGTATTTTGGTGTATATGTTAATAATAGAGACGCAAATTCACTGGTTAATTTTTGCTCCAATGCGGGTCAGCAATAGTTGCTAGGGTTGCCCACATAATTATTGTATAATGGCTGCTAATCAAAGTTCAGAGCTTTCTCACTGCTCCCAAGGCATTTAAAGCGTCTTAAATTGTCGCCTTTCAGGTGCTTGCAGCAGCAGCAGCAGTAGCAGCAGCAGCAGCAGCAGCAGCCAAATTCAATGTATACCTTAAACCTACAAAGCGCATTCGCATCCACGTTGCACGTTCAAGTCGTTTTCTCGCAATTAACGCGAAATTCTACGAATTGTTTAATTAGAACTCCAGCTATATCCACAGCTCCAGCTCCAGCTCCAGCTCCAGCTCCAGCACGTTTGCTGTGCGCTGCATAATCTTTTTTGTAAACATGAAACTCGCGCCATTATATCTGAACGCTTCCAGCGTTCGGCATCGGGGTCAGGGAAGGGGGCTCTTACATGTTTCATGGTGCACTGCGCTCTGTGGCTACGTTTTAAATTTAAAATCTGTGAATTTGAAGCAGTTAATCGAGTAACGTTGTCTGCAGTTGGCTGCAGCTTCAGTTCTGTTCACCATCCTCAACTTTGTTTTTTAACTTTAACTTCAGCTTCAGCTTCAGCTCCTGCTTAGGTGTTGCCTGCTTTTGTTGTTTTCTGTTTTCTGTTCTCTGTTTTTGTTGTGGCTGATTTCGTTGGCCGATTAAATCATTAAATATTCCGATTGTGTAGCGTTATAATGAAATGTTTTTAACGCTTGTCTGATTTGAAATTATGCAGGGAATTAAAGGATCTCGCGTATTTGCACAGACACACAACGAACTCTTTTTCTTTTTTTCTTATGTGGAAATCGCTGAAATCGTGTTTGATAGGCAAACTGAGAAAATGTGTGAGGCATGTTTATTCAATATTTGTATTTATTCATTTGTGCAAAAATAATTGGTTAATATCTAATGTGTGTTTTTTATATTTATTAGTTTAGCTATTTATTTAATTATGTGTGCATAAAATGATTGAAACCCATATTTGATGCCTTTCAAAAACATATATGTGGAAAAGTGGGCTTCAAATATTAATTTACCTTCAAATTGTCTATAATTTTAAATATTTATTTAGCTTGTAAATTTAAGGATATTGAATAATATTTCATTTGTGCCACCAGGACGTATGTGTAACATGCGACAGCTGCCGCATCTGCCGCAGACTGACATAACTAAATGAAAAGCTAGAGAATAACATGTGGAAAAATCGGAAAATAGATTTGATTGAACTTTATTTTATTTGAGCACAATCGCTGATGCATAATTAATTAAAATGCTGCGTTTTGTTTTTTGTATTTGTCTGATGTGGTTGTTGTATTTTGTATTGTTTGGCGTTTACTCCTCACAACACGCCCCAAAACGCTTGCCGATTGTTGTAGTTATGGTTGTTGTTGCTGTTGTTGCTGTTGTTGGTTGGTTGGTTGGTTTGCTCGCCTTATCTTGTAAATTGAATTATGAAATCGTCAACTTGAAACTGAACTGAATGCAGCCAAAGCGAGCCTTGTCTGCTGCTCCTTTTAGCCCATAGACTGGCAATCAGTTAAGAGAGCATGACGACGCAGCAGCAGCAGCAACAACAATAACAACAACAACAGCAACAACAAGAACAACAAGAACAAGCAGTTGCCCGCGCGTTACGCCAATGACCAATGACAGAAGGCGGCGTGTTGCCCTTTCCCATTCTACCCTCTCCCCATCTCACTTCTCACTGCCTTTGAATCCGATTCAGAATCTGTGCATGTGAGTGAGAGAGTAAACAAAACGAGCGTTTAACATAATCATATCATATCGTTGTAGGCATCACATCGCTGCTGCTGCTGCTGCTGCTGCTGCTGTCGAGCAGAAACCACTTAAGTTGCCTGGACAGGCCGCAGGATGACTGCCATTTGCATATGTACGTATATATGTATGTATGTATGTATATATGATTATCAGTGGCTGTCCCAGTATAACTACCAATCCCATTCCAAAAACCCATTCCCTTGGCACTGCGTTTGTTTGTTTGCTTGCACGAGTGAACAGAGTTTAGAAGTTTATCTCAGTCATTGCTATATTTTTGTTGGGCTGCTTTTGATTTTTCATATTTTTGGAAAAAGAAAATGTGAAAAACGCTTTGGGACTCTAATCGGGACGACATCATCTCGATCTGTTTTGAGCAACTGGACACTCGCTTTGTTAAGTAATTGAGAATATAATTACACGAATTACGACTGCTTATCAATAAGTTAGCATCTGTTTTATCTCCGGCCCCTCTACTGTTTTTGACAGCGCCAAGTGCGTACGAGCGTTTGGCTTTTGTTGGCCAAGTTCAAAAGTCGTGGTGACTCTATTTGTGACATGTGTGCGCTTTCGCAGCGCCTCAACAATTGACACACACACACACACAGACAAACACACACATACAAAGAGACACACACAATAGACTACATTCAAAGCCAGACGCGAATACAGATGCATAGACAGACACATAGCAGTTCCCACTTCCCAAAGCAATTACGCCACAATTTAAGCGTGTAAACAAAAAATTACAAAGTTGTTAGAGCAAAATGGCAAACAAAATGCAAGTCATCGTCACTGGCGCCTCCAAAATGTCAGAAAATTGGTGAGCAGCGAAAGGGGAAAGAGAGGCGGGTGGAGAAAGGGAGGTGCACAAGTAATTTGACAATTCGGCATAGAACTGCTAGTAATTATCATTATGACAGTGAATACTGGTAACTAATGGACCGAATATGTTAATAAACCTACAGTTGAAGAGCTAAAACTATATTATAATATTTAATTGTTTAATAAAATTTTAAAATATTAGAGTACTAATAATAATATAATATAATATTCACAAAATATGACAGGGCATTTCAATTCACAGAATTAAATTGATATAGCCTGGCGAGAGTTTCAAAACTTTTATTTATAATTTGAATTAAGTTCATTTGTAACATAATATAAGTAAGTAAGCAGTCAAAGAGTCCAACTAATACCATTTGATATGGAAAAAAAACCTTATATAAAAATTTCGATTGTTAATTTG